GAAACGTCTTCAAGCAACTTAAAGAAGTCCAGACGCTTTTCTTTGCAAGCTCCTTTGACTACGATGACCTGGATGACTGAGAACCTTCACAGACAACCCAGATTATACACGATACCAGGTGGGTATCCTTACTGCTAAAAACCAGCCCTGGAATGGCACGGCTACAGCTGCAGCCTGTCTGCAGCTCAGGACACAAGCATTTCACTGCATGTTCACTATATGTTATACTGTGTATGTGACAAATTTTAAAAAAGTAATTGTAATTGTATTGATGAATAGGTTGTGGGTTTGATCCCTGGCTGTTCAAGTCCTAAGCTACAGCCCGGGTGGCTTAGGAGTTAGATCAGTTCTGCTAATCAAAAGGTTGGTGGCTTGCCAAATATCCTGGGGCAAGATATTAACCCTGATGTATCCATCGGAGTGTGAATGTTAGACAGAAAGCACTAAAAGTGCTTTATAGATGCTTCGCTTAAGTGCTCCAGAAGAGTAGAAAATTATGTAAGAATCAGTCCATTAACTATTTGCTTTCACTTTTTATTTACACAAATATCAAAATTAGTTGTTGATGTGTAGCCTGCAAAGTATATCAGAAAAATATACATTTCAAAGAAGTCCTGAGCTAATGTAAACTTTGATAAAAACATGTTTATTATTTTTACTATTCCAAACATTGGTCATTAGTGTACTTTACTAAAAAAAAGCAACCTCTACAGTGCTCTATAAAGAATCACCAAGCATTTCTCTCATCAGCATCCATTGAACGCCTTTTTTTGCAGTGCTTTATCCTTCCATATAGATACAGCACTAGATGCATTCAATCACAATAAAAATGTGATGCCTTGGCATTTCACTGCTGTGGTCTTGTCTACGTCTATAAGGTGCAGACGTGGAACATCAGAATTCCTCAAAAAGGTCTTCCACTGCAGAACTTGCTGCAGCAACATCTGCAGAGAGCCGGGGAGTCTGATGCTTACTGGATCCTGCAGGGGAGTCATTCCTGTCAACCACACACACACACACACGCACACACGCACACGCACACACACAGAAAAGAGGTCAGTGGGCTAATGAGACTGGTTTACAGGACCGTTTTCCTGGTGAAACAGGAAATATGTCATGTGCTCTATAAGACACAAGACAAGAAACACATGGGCAATGTGTGTGTGCGTGTGTGTAACTGTGGCCCAGCAATTCCCCTACTTTAAGTGTTCTACATCAAAGACATCACTACTTCTGTTTGTTTTTGTGCATTTCCACATAGAGGCTCATGTTCTCCACTAGTTTTTAAGTCTGATGATGTTACCTCCCCAAAGCAGGTTTTTTTTTCCTGTGGCATAGCGTGCATTCGGTCTATATACATCATAGCTGTTGTATGCAATATTTTAAATGTTATGATTTATTGGTGGAAAATTGACAACAAATGTCACATTTGACCTCTGACATGGTTAAAGCTGTAGTAAATCAATATCGAGCTATTTAAAACTATGTTTCATACGGTTGTTGTTCTACATACAAGCATATAGGGAACGATACACAGGGGTTTTAAATATCATGTCACATTTGAGCTCTAAAAGGAAATAATGCCCAGACAGTGAGCTGCCTTGGTGGAACGTCACACTGAAGGTCTCTAAAACTTAGCTTCATCAAGCAATGAATATTTTTTACATTTTATACTTTAAACTAGTTAATCCATAAGCAGGGGCAGATCTAGAGGGGTGACATGGGGTGGCATGTGCCACCCTAAAATGATCTCTTGCCACCCCTAGTGCTACCCTAGTTTTGCACATGACAATGTTGTTTATTATAATAAGATAGCATTAACACTTTGAGCGTAGCTACAGTTAACACTGAAAATAAATTCTAAAACTGAATATATTACATAGTGCCCCCCACTCACCATTAACAAATGGGTTTTTTTTTCTTGTTTTTAGTAGCAAGTGATGCCTATGACTGTGCCAGAGCATTTCACAGGAATTTCACATTTCACACAAGTGGTTGGTTGTTTGGAAATGCACGTTTGTGCAGGAAGAAATGCTAAAGAAAGCATTTTCTAAGGACAGCCCAAAAACAGTAAAGAAAGAAAAGAAGCCATCTCTCTCCTATTGGTGAAAAAAATGTACCATGTCGACCAATAGAAAAATAGCAACAGGTGGGATTTCTTTGTTTAGGAAGAGGGGCAAGTTTTAGGAGTGAGCGAGAGAGAGAAAGCGAGTTTTGAGATGTGAGAGATTTGTGACGTTTAGCGTGGAGTGTGTAGTTAGTGTGTTGTGTGGTCGTTGTTTTGTTTTGTGTCAGTGAGGGTACTAACTGTCACAAAAGCAGATTGCAATGTAAACACTGTCTTGAGGTGGAAAACCGGAGGAGTGATACACCTGTTGTCAGGCCTGCATATGTGTTTTAAAAAAAAGGCTTTGATTTGCCACCCTAAGAAAATTTCTCTAGATCCGCCCCTGTCCATAAGACGTTTCCTGCTTCTGCATCTATCATGATTCTTTCTTCTCACTGTTATGCCTTTCCGGTTTTGACTCTGCGGCTTTCTCTTGTGTATTTTTCTCTTTGTGGTTATTTGAATATGAAGTTACAGGCCACCTGAACCCAGGTGGTGCAGGTCATCTTCATGTGAGGTTCTGAAAAAAAAAAACCCAAAACATGAAATCATTTCATCAATAAATACTGGTTTTGTAATTTTTCTTTTCTTCGTGTGACTATTGTTCTATGCTACATTAAAAGATTTAAAGGGCTCACAAAATTTAAATGATCAGCCTTTTAGAAACCATGGTGACACCATGTGATGTTTAAGTGTGGAGATAAGAGAGGACAAAAGGGGATCATGAAAGCTCGATGGGTAACAGAGAAAAGAAATCAAGAGGGGATCAAGGGAGAAAAAGTGATAAGGAAAACACAAATGTGGGCCAGCTGGTCACACTAGTGCTTTAAGAGTCTCCACATTTCTTTGCTACATTTTGATGAATAGAAACATATATTAGCTTAGCAAGAAAGCGGGAGTGAAGGGAGGGTGGGGGCATACAACCTCTGCCATTAATGAGCGTGTTATATCTAACTGGTTAACTTTGGCAAAGCCATAGGCATATGAACTCCTTATAAAGTACTTTAGCAGCATTCCCACCTGGAAACTTTATTTACAAGGATAATGTCCAAAACCTTTGTTCTGCATTTCCACTGAAGACTACAGCTTTGTAGATAAGGCACATTAGGCAGCCGATATATCAAAAACTGAAAGCTGTTTTATAATGTGATTTCTCTATGTAGCAATATCAAACTTATCTGGTGCATATCCCAAAACGTTGATTCTGTTCATCGGGAGATAGTGTTTTCAGTGGGAGAAATGTTCATCCAAGTGACTTCTTCAGCCTCAGCTGAAAGCAGGTTTCCCCAATCTTATATTTGCACAATGACTGAAACTAGCACCACTGAATGAACAATGGGCTGGCAGGTCAGTTCCTTGATTATTAATATGCAAATTCTCATGACCATTGAGAGTT